AGGCTAGGTCTACTTGTATGCGTATCAACACCCTCGTATTCCAAGGCAACGCTCGTATTCTGATGTAAATTTTCCAAGCAAATTCTGCTCGTAATCTGAAAAACTCGTAAACAGGATCGCTTGTAATCTGAGTTACCACTGTACTATGCTTCTCGCCTCGCATGTCGGCAGGCGATGCTTGCTTCTTCTTGGAATCTGCTTGGGCCCTGGCTCTTCTATTGTCTTCTCCTTTTTGTCCTTTGCTGTTTGCGGAGTCCGCGGTGGTGAAGTACCTGCAGGCGGCTTCGGTTAGTTGTCGACCTATGTCTGATTTGTTGGTGCTCTGGGGGACTGGTGGGGTGCCATCCCGGAAGGATCGTGCTAAGGCTTGGGGTTCCATTCGTCGTGGTAGGCCAGTGGGGCCAGATCAAGGGCAGGCGCAGCCTTCAGGTCTATCTGTTTCAGGTTGGCGCGGGGATCGCCCTGTCCGCCGCTCAGGTTCTCGTATGATGCGTCGGCCCTTTCGTGGTTAGTCCCAGGGGGTGATTGGGGGGGCTCGCCCTGTTTGCTTGCAACTGGTCCCACGATTCGTGGGCCTTTCGGGTCGTTTTGTACGGCTTGTGGTGGTGTTGAGTGGACCCTCTTCCCTCGGGGGTTCATCTTGGAGTGGGTTCGCTTGGGCATTGTCAAAGCGACCTCGTCCCTCAGGTGGATTCCGCCTGTTTCCAGTCCCGAAATGGGACTGCATGGACCTCCGGTTCTTTCTGGACTTGTCCCATTTGAACCCATGGGCTTATTGCCCCTCCTTCAGGATGACTACTCTGTCCCAGGTTCGTCTTCTGTTGGAGCCGGGCACTTGGATGGTGTCCCTGGACTTCAAAGATGTGTATTGGCACGTCCCGGTTCATCCAAGGTTCAGAGACTGGCTCATTTTTTTTGTGGGGCGTCAGGGGTTACTGTTTTCGTTGTCTTTCCTTCGGGTTGAATCTGGCGCCTCGCGTTTTCACACGCCTTACTCGAGTCATGGTGACCTGTGTTCGTCTGTTAGGTGTTCGGGTTCTGGCCTACCTCAGCGACTGGCTGGTTTGGGCTCCCAGCCGGTCTGCTCGCCAGGGATTTGGTTCTTTCCCAGGTCACCGGGTTCAGGTTCTTGGTGAACTGGAGGAAGTCCCATCTGGTTCCCTCTTAGGTTTGGTCTTGGCTGGGTCTGGTTTGGGACGCTCGTACCGCTTCCTTGTCTCTTCCTCCGGCGGCTCTGCTCCGTCTGCGTTCCTGGTTTCATCTGTTCCCGAGGGGCTCCTGGGTCATGATGCGATTGCTTGAGAGTTTGTGCGGGAGCCTGAACTTTGCCATGATGGTCTACCCGCCAGGTCGGGTGTGGCTTCGTCGGCTGTTCTGGTTCCTTTGGGGACGGCGCTTTCCCCCTCTCTTGCGATCGTTGGGTTCGGCCTCCGGGGGTTTTGTGTCGGTTGCTGCGTGGCCGGCTTCCTCTTTGGGTTTTTCGGGGTTCAGTGACTTTGCGCCTACCCGAGCCCTTGCTCGATGTGTACACGGATGCATCGTCTCTTGGCTGGGGCTTTATATCCAGTGCTCACTAGGCTGGCCAGGGGCGGTGGGGTCCGTCCTTCTGTCAGGCTCACAACACGGTCAGGGAGTCTGCGGCGGGGTGGATGTCGCTCCGGAGGGTTCGGGTCGCTTGCGGATCGACGATCCAGCTCCATTCGGACTACTCCCAGGTGGTTCATTGCCTGAACCGAGGGGGTTCGATGGTCTTGGGGCTGGTCGCTTCAGGTGACTTGTCTGCCGAGTTCTCGGGGTTTGGCTCTCCTGGTGGTTCACGTCAGGGGGTATCCAACATCCTGGCAGACGGCCTGTCTCATTTCCTTCCCCTTTCCATGGAATGGACGATCAACGCCGGCTCCTTTAGTTGGCTGTGCCAGATGTTCAGGACTCTGGATGTGGATCTCTTTGCGTTGGCATGGTCGAGGCGTCTCCTATTATACGTGGCGCCCTTCCCCGACTGCGAGGCCGTCGGGGTCGACGCCTTCAGGCAGGACTGGGTGAGGCGAGGTTACCTGTACCTCTTTCCCTGGTTCAGCTGTTGCTCCAAGTCCTTGGAGCAACGCTTGGAGACTTACCAGGAAAGAGTTGTCCTTCTGGTTCCTTGGTGGCCAGCCCAGCCTTGGTTTCAGGCGCTGCTTGCTCGGTGTCTGAACCCGAGGGTCTTCCTGCGGCTCTATCTCTTTCAGCGGATCGGTCCAGCCTGGTACAAGGCTGGTTCAGTCTTCTTCTCGAGTCTTCACGTATGGAGTTTTTGACTCGGGTTTATCATCATTTGTATGGTAATTACCTACCTTGAGGTTACCTTGAGGTGCTACCGGGGCTTAGTGTCCCCGCGGCCCGGTCGTCAACCAGGCCTCCTGGTTGCTGGACTGATCAACCAGGCTGTTAGACGCGGTTGCTCGCAGCCTGACGTATGAGTCACAGCCTGGTTGATCAGGTATCCTTTGGAGGTGCTTATCCAGTTCTCTTTTGAACACTGTGAGGGGTTGGCCAGTTATGCCCCTTATGTGTAGTGGAAGCGTGTTGAACAGTCTCGGGCCTCTGATGTTGATAGAGTTCTCTCTCAGAGTACCTGTTGCACCTCTGCTTTTCAACGGGGGTATTCTGCACATCCTGCCATGTCTTCTGGTCTCATGTGATGTTATTTCTGTGTGCAGGTTTGGGACCAGCCCCTCAATTATTTTCCACGTGTAAATTATTATGTATCTCTCCCGGCGGTTCATGGCTTACACTGCTCCCGATGGAGCAGTGTAAATTATTATGTATCTCTCACCTAAGTGTAATTACCTAAGTGTAGTTACAGGATGAGAGCTACGCTCGTGGTGTCCCGTCTTCCCAGCACTCTTTGTGAAGACGGGACACCACGAGCGTAGTTCTCATCCTGTAACTACACTTAAGTGTAATTACCTAAGTAATTACCATACAGGTGATGATAAACCCAAGTCAAAAACTCCGTACATGAAGACTCGAGAAGAAGACCGAACCAGCCTTGCACCAGGCTGGACCGATCCGTTGAAAGAGACATGGTGCGCAGTTGGCTTTGTTGTTGGTCCCCCACCTGCGTGCTTCGTCTTGGCGACAGTGTGAAGTTTCCTGGCGGTCCTTCCGGTTCTTCTAATCACTGCGTAGGTATTCTTTGGTCTCTGATAGGGTTGTTCTGTCCTTTCTCTCTTGGTTGTTCCAGGAACGTCATCTTATGCCCAATACTGTCGCCTTGTATTGTGTGGCGCTGGCGGAGCCACTTCAGCTTGCTTTCGGTGTTGATGTTACAGTACTTCTGCTCCGTTCTGCATGCTTTCTCGGGCGTTTCACCTCCAGCCTGCTCATGTGCCTCCTTAGCCGTCCTGGTCTTTGGACCGGGTGCTCTCGTTTCTTTCTTCACCTCGGTTTGTTGTGGCCCCGTCCATTCCGAATTGTTTTTTCTAAAGCTCTTTTCCTGTTGGCATTGGCCTCTGGGGGTCGGGTCGGGAAGCTTCATGCTCTCCTCTGGTGCAGGGGTTTCTGCTCCTTCAGTCCTGGTGGTCGTTTTGTTCGGTTGCAGCTGTCTCCTCCTTTTCTGGCGAAGAATGAGACAGCTGTGTTTTGGAGGGGGCCTTTGGTTGGTGAGGCCAGGGGTGCATCATGTGTTGTGTCCGGTTGTGGCTCTTCGCCGTTATTTGTACACCACAGCTTTGGTGACCGGGGATGCGCTTTGGGTTGACCCAGTTTTCCTTCTTCCCTGTTCTTGGGCTCGGGTCTCTCAGGTTGTCTTCAGGGTTTATTAAGTCTAGCCAGCTTGCGATTTATCACCATACCCACGACGTGCGTAAGTTTGCTGCTTTGGCTGCTGTCTTTGACGACATGTCTTGGGTTGACATTCGGGTGAGCGGTTTTTGGAGGTTGAACAGGGTCCTGGCTGCTCGCTACCTGGTGAATATTCCTGGGCCTGGTAGGGCCTACGTTGCATTGGGGCGGCGGTTACAGCCAGTTGTCTTGACTTCGCGTTGAGGAGTGAGGACGAACCGCCTCTCGGGTAAGTCCCTGTTTTTTCCTCATCTTTGGGTAGTTAGCTCCGGGTAGCCGACGGGGCTCACCTCCAGAAAACCAGCGTGCGTTGAATGTTATGAAACACCATTTTCTGGGCGAGTCCCGGAGGCTCCCCCGCTTCCCTCCCTCCCTCCAGTCGGCTGTGTTTTTCACGCTTTTTGACATCCAGCCTATGAACTTAAGGGTGGGTTGCCAGTGGGTGGGTCTGGGGCTTCCCCTACCCCTCCCATGGAGGGGGTGGTTGCGCAGACAGCGGCGTGGCGACATGATGACGTCATTCTTGTTTAATTTTTGTTTGGGGAGTTTTGTCCACTTGTTCGGCCTTTGGTTGCAATATTTTTACCAGAATAGGGGGTTTGTTTTGGGGGGCCTACCTTTCTGGGTGCCTGTCCCGGTCAATGGCAGACATAGAATGCTCCCAACCACAGGGAGGGGGGGGTTTCTATATGCCATTGCTCCTCGGCCTCTCTCTAGAGGGGGCCAGGTTCTGGCTCATTGTCCACGGTAGGCAAGAACTCCAGGCACTGACTGATGCCAGAAAGATATATATATCCATTCAGCCTGGATAGCTCCGGGGAGCCTCCGGGACTCGCCCAGAAAATGGCGTTTCATTACATTCAATGCTGGTTTTTTTAGTTTCCCGTGATCAAAGACTACATTTTAATAATATAAGAAGAGGTAATATTTTTTTGGAAAGAATTTATTTTCAGCGCACCACAGGAGTGTCATATTTTAATGCAGAGCAGTGCAGTGGTTAAATCAAAATTTTTTTGAGGTTCATTAAATGTACTATATATAACATGATTATTTGTATTTAATTTATTCGCTTAAAAAATTACTGTTCTGTACTTTAGCTGCAGTAATTATTCATTCCAAAGATCTTTTGTTATTTTTGAGGAATATATTAATAATTTTCTCCTGTTTTATTTCAGAGGCTGAATGTGAGGAGTGAAGTATAGCAGCAGTGAGCATTCCAGCCAGAGACTAGTGATGGCAGCTGAAAATGGAATACTATTGGTTGAAGCATTATACTCGTTCAAGGGTAAAAATAATGATGAGGTAAGTAGCTAAAAAAAAAATAAAATTGCCGACAAATAATAAGCAAAGTATTTATGCTAGGAGAGTTCAGGTTTAGCAGAAGTGAGTTATTGCATCTTTTTTTTTTTTTTCTTTTTGTGGTGAGCCCCTTTGGCTCCCTGAAGCTATCGGGCTAATATGTGATACATTAGATCAGGGTATTAGTCTATGGAGTTCAGCCTCCCAGGGACCACGAGCCAAAACCTGGCCCCCACAGAGGTGCAGGGAGCAATGGCCCCTGGAACAACCTCCCTTTGTGGTTGAGGGTTTTGATTATCTGCCATCAACCAGGGTTAGGCACCTAAAAAGGTAGCAATAACAAAACAAACCCCACATGGTAAGAAAATTACAATTAAAAACTGAAAAGAGAGGCAGAACTCCTGCCAATCCCAGAGAAACAAGCAAACGTCACACTCCACTGCCATGTCATACTCCAATGCCATGTTACTCGTCCGTGCTGCCCTCCCCTTCCCGAGAGGGGGAGGGGGGAGCCCCGGACCTCCCTGTGCCAGCTACCTAGCCCTCCAGCTTGTTCGCTAATGTGGTCCGGGCGGACGTCTTCTCTAGCTTTGAATTCCAAAGCGGTGTTTTGCTTTCATGGTTACCTTCGTGCAGTGTTGTTGTGTGTGGTGGTGAGGTATTCTTATCTGTACCAGGGCTGCATGTGCTTAGGGGCATCCTTCCCTAGGTGCCCTGTGAGTATTACCCCCTTGTGTGTTAGGGTTCTCTTCCCTGGTGCATTCAGGAATCATTTCCGTAGGGGTTTTTGCTGCTCGACATGTACCCTGCTCTTGGGGCCAGCTGGGGTTTTCGTGGCCCTTGTTTGGCCTTGGGTAAAAAACTGCTTGGTGATAAATGGAAGCAGTTCACTAACAGGAAAGGCAAAACTGAAATTTCATGAATGGCAACTCACAGGCAATTTCATGAATGGCAAGGCACAATGTACACAGTCTGTGTAGTGACTTGAGATACTGTTGTGGATAAATTCTTGGGTAGAGAAACTACTCATTACAATTGTATGGAGTGTTGTGGAGCTGGTAGCTCATGATGCTGCCAGGTATGGAGAGGGGGGATTATCAGGATAAAGCACAAAGCCATTACAACTATATAGCACTTAGAAGGGATTAAGATAAGGATTTGGGATAGGATGAAAGGAAGGAATGGTGCCCATTCACTTGGTGGACGGTCGGGGATTAACCGCCGACCTGCATGACGCGAGACCGTCGCTCTACCATCCAGACCAAGTGGTTGGGCTGCCAGGTATGGAAAGGAGAGTGAATGGACAAATGTTGGTGAATATTTTTATTATCTTGTTGCTCATCAGTATTTCTGATACATTTACTCAAATCTTCAAGTAAATTCTTCCCCATCATATGAAAAAAAAAATTTAATGGTAATGATTCCTTTTTTTTTTTTTTGTCACAGTTGTGCTTCAGTAAGGGAGACATCATCACTGTGACCCAGAAAGAAGAAGGTGGATGGTGGGAAGGGACATTTAATGACAAGACAGGATGGTTTCCTTCAAATTATGTCAAAGAATATAAGCTCTCAGGTATGGATTGGGTAAAGACTCACAATGTCTTTCTAGGAGGAGTCTTCTGGTGGCTTCCTGAAACTGGCTCGCTGAGATAGCTACTCACTACTAAGTCACATCAGTCATAGGAGTCCTGTTTGGCCTACCAAGGACCAGAGCTAAAACCTTGCCACCTCATAGAAGCACAGAGAGCAGTGGATTATTAACATCGCCCTCACCGGTAAAAGCATCCAGGAAGTCAATGAAGCTTTACAGACAACTGCAAGATTCGTAGAAAACAAAGCATCAAAATGGTGAAACTACTGCAAGTAATTCATTCAAACAATTGGTTCCCTTAAAACTAGGTTGAACCCACTAGTACTGATAGCTGCCACCAGGTGGCCTAGAGCCTTGGCCCACAGTCGGCTCCAAGGCCACTCCTGCCCCTGAAGAGGTTGATTCCTGTAGTGTGCTACTAGGTTACCATCATTCTCAGTGGGTCCCATTGCTTCTCAGTGTCTCCCACTGCTCTTCAGTGGGTCCCATTGCTTCTCAGTGGGTCCCACTACTCCTCAGTGGGTCCCACTACTCCTCAGTGGGTCCCACTGCTCCTCAGTGGGTCCCATTGCTTCTCAGTGGGTCTCATTGCTTCTCAGCAGGTTCCACTGTATCTCAGCTAAGTATCAACCATACTTTGGACTTTGTACTCCAGGAAGCCATTTGCTTGTGTTTTGTTTCTTTATTTTAGTACAGTGGAACCTTGGTACTCAAACTTAATTGGTTCCAGAAGGTCGTTCCAGTGCTAATCCATTTGAGTCCCGAATAATTTTTCCCTATAAGGAATAATGTAAATTGCATCTCTGTCCTTGCCCCCTGCAGTTCTGCACAGCGTGCAGCTTCAGTGTATTCTGGTGTTGGATCAGCCCTGGGTGACTCATCAGTTGGTTGAGCAGTTGTCCAACCTTGAAATACCAAACAACCAATTCGCCTGTTTGAGATTTACCTTAAGCAGGGTTTGGCTGTGTGCCAAGACCAGTGGGTTTGGACCTCACCTGCCCTACGTTGGCTCTTCTTTCACTGACCTCATCTTCAGGCTTCTCGGGGCTCATATCCGTGGTGTCATCCTTCCCTGTCGCTTGATGTGTTCACAGATGCCTTGGCTCTGGGTTGGAGCTTCAAGACCAACATACTCCAGGCCTCCCTTCCACACAGGTTTGTGGCTGTGTTGCAGGTAGTGTGGAGGATTTGGCTTCTGTTGGGCTCCATTCACTGGTTCCATTCCAACTGCTTTCCCAGGAGTTCATTCTCTAAATTGTGAAGATCCACCTCAGTTCTTCCCTCTTTGAAGTTGGATACTTCGTGTAGCTTAGCTTCTGGAATCTTGGGTTTGGATTGCACGGTTCAACTGTGAAGCATGTTCAACATTCTTGCAGACGGGTTAGCTCGCTGCTGTCTTACTTTTGTGGAGGGGACCATCGACAATGAGCCCTTCCATTGGATTTGTAAGGCAAGAAGTCACTCCAAAGTGGACCTCTTTGCATCAGTATGGAATCTGTGTCTTCCCTCCTATGTGGCTCTGGTCCTCAGTCACGAGTCTTTTATGGTGGGTGCCTTCCATCTGGACTGGTTGAAATGAGGGTTCATTTCCTCTTTTTCTCCCAGTTCAGTTATTGTTCTGGGTGTTGTCCAGACTGGCGTTGTACTCGGGGAGGGATCAATTGTTGGTATCTGGCTCCTCTGGATTGGTGTCTGAACCTGGGCATTTTTCCATGGATCCACCTCTATCAGCAGGTCAGCCCAGCGATGTACCTTGTTGGTTCAACCTCCTCTGCATGTCTGGAGTTTTTGACACAGGTCTTTTGCCATTTTGATGGCAATCAGGTGGCTATATTATTGATGGCGCATACCTGCATCTCTCTTCATGGCAGCAATATGAAGTTACCTGGTGTTCGTTTTCCTTTATGTGTCTTCATCATCTTTCTTCGTTATCAGTCCAGGTGGTCCTGTCATTTTTGTTGTGTTTTTTTTGCACTGGTATCTTATGCCTAACACTGTTGCCTCTTTTCATTTGGCATTGGTAGAGCCAATGTTGCGTGCTTTCTGCATCGATACGACTTTGGTGCCATTCCACAAGTTGTCTCGAATGTTTTTTCATCTTGGTTCATGGCTTTCCCTTTGATTAGAGCTGTTTTTCTCGAGTGTTTTTCTTGGCTCTTGCTTCCAGCTGCAACATTGGGGAGTTTCATGCTCTTCTCTGGTGGAAGGGATTCTTTTCCTTTGGCTCAAGTGGGCAGTTTGTTCATCTGAAGCTTTCTTTTTTTCTGTCAAAAAAAGAGTTTGCTGGTTGCTGGAGGGGTCCTTATGGGATTGATCCTTCTTGGTCTTGCTGGTGTTGCATTATTTGTTGTCTGATGGTGGTGCTTTGCTGCTACCTGCATGCCACCGGTTTTGCATCAGTGGACTCCTTATTGGTTGACCCTGTTTCCTTGGTCCTCTATTCCAAAGATTGTATTTCTCAGGCTGTCTGCAGTGTTGTCAAAGTTTATCAGCCTGCTGTCTATGCCTCGGGCCCATAATTTTCATAAGTGTGTAGTGTTGGCTGCTGTTTTCTCCAGCATGTCCTGGGCTGAAATATGGGGTTGGGGGTATTTGGAGGTCTCACCTAGTATTGGAGGCCTGGTATTTGGTTAATGTCCCTGGTCCCAGTTGGTCTTGCATTATGGTGTGGCACTGGGCTGGGTTTCCTGGCCCAAGGTCTTTTTATCAGAGTAGTATCTGCTACAGTATCTTTCCTCCTCCCTGGTAAGTCCCTTGTTTTCTTGTCCTCTGTCCTTCAGTGAGTCACTATAGAGCTACTCCCAGAAACTAGTGTTGAATGTAATGAAATGCCTCTTTCTGGTAGAGCCCCAGTGGTTTTCTGACTCCCACCTTACCAGGTTCATCAGTTTGTTGATGTGTTGTTCAGCCCTGGACTGACCTTAGAGCCAACTGTCGGCTGGGGCTCCAGGTAACCTGGTGGCATCTATCAGTACCAACATTTTTGAGCAGGTTTTGAGGGAAACTGTTTGCAATGAATTGTTTGTCCATTTCTATGCTTAGTTTTCTATGAACCTTGTGGTTGTCTGTAAAGCTTCACTAATTTCTGGATTCTTCCCACTGAGTGTGATGTTAATAATTCCCTGCTCTCTGTACCTCTGCGAGTAAGGGGGGTTGTGGCTCTGGTTCCTGGTAGGCCAAAATGGACTACTGTGACCGATGGGACCCAGTTGTAGAGAGCACCTTTTCGACAAGATAGCTTCAGGGAACCACCAAGGCTCTACCAGAAAGAGGTATTTCATTATATTCATCACTGGTGTTTTTCCCTTATGTGCTAAATATAAGATTTTAAATTATAAATTGGAAATTTTGTTTGATTTTGGATCATTACTGAGTCAGTGAGAAATGTATGCATTATTAATTAATTGTATAATATAGACATTTCTCGGCTGTCACTTGCAGTTGCTCCCTGAGGTAAGATCCATTTTGTCTATTGGACACACTCATGCTGTCAAGGTGGCCCCAGGTGACCACAAAAGGAGGGCTCTTGTCATTTGTACCAGTTGTCCTGCATGGTAGCCACAGCTTGCTGCCATCACGTGGCAACACCACCAACATCTTTGAGTTTCCTGACTTGAGCCACTTTGACTGTATCTCATGCCAGTCGACATGCAGGGACTAGGATTTCAGTTGTTTGACCTAGTTTCACTATTTTGGATATCTGAATCACGTGCCAAGGCTCTATTTAGAAGTGTTTTTGAATGGGTGCCTTGTGATTATTTCCTAGGTGTATTTTATACAGGGATTCAGTTCAGTTGTTATGAACCTTGGCTTAGCTCTGCAAGCCTTAGTCACTTCATTCATAGTCCTCTGAATCATCTATCAGGGACTTTGGTGTTATTTTGCTGTGCATTGTATGTTTTATGTTGTAAGGTGCAACATGGTGGATTCTCCGTACCCACCATGTTGCACCTTTGTAGGATAGTGAATCTTTATTTGTGAATTATTTAAGTGCCACCTACATCTTAATCTTTCCTTGTAGAGTGACAAAGTTAGTTTACTTTTGGTTAGAGGTGGAGAACCTGGTGACCTGTCATAGGTCTTGTGAGAACTTCTTGTATGTCCAGCATCACAATGTTTACTGGTTAGGTAAAGTACTTTGGTGGCATGCACACCTCTATATGGTAGAGATTAGATCAGATTTTGTTGTGACCTTGTGGTGCATTTAATGACATACACACTTCACTTGTAGATTGGAGGACTCTTAGACATTCTTTATTGTCTACATTTTCCCTGTTTTATTGATTTCACTTGAAGGCCTGTAACTGTGCTGCTTTGGGTTACAATCCTTTTCTAAACTGGCTACTTAGTAGCTCTCTGGTCCATTAAGCTCTGGTTTTAGTGTGAGACACAATACTACCAGGGCTCTGGACTTGCATAGGCCTACCAAATACCAAAACTAAAATCTGATATGCTTATAGTAGTGAGATGAAGCATAATGATTAAAAGTTGCCCAAAAAGTACCGATGAAGCATAACAGGCTACAAATCTAAATTAGAAAGAGAAATGAAAGAAAAACAAGCAAACAATAATAGAACCATAAGTGTGCTTTATAAAAATTGGATATTTCCCAGGAGAGTACAAACTGTTAAACACATTTTAATTAAGATATTCTGTTTAAAATTTAGGCTAAGAAGTGAGACTGTTGTAAATGGGATATGCTATGTGTGCTACTTTCATTGTTGTGAAGGGTTTTATTACCATTTATCACAAATGAGTTATTGTTATTTCAGTTCAGTACCATGTATATGTGAACACACATATGATTCATCGCATATATTTCAGAAGACATACCATTCAACTAGCTACAAACGTGTAGGGGTCATAGGGAAGGTAACTGAAGTTTTAATTATTTAAGCTATTTACTATACAGACTAGAATGTGAACCATCTACATAAGTATCCCATTCTTCACATTCCAAATCATTACTTTCTCTGGGTCTC